CACAGCTGTTCTTATTGAATCAACCCCTCCCAACTTTAGTTTTATGAGTCAGGCAAGACTGCATAAGAAAGGGGGTGGAGTAGCTATTTTGTTTAATGATTTATTTCAATGCAAGCAGACTACGTATGGAAACTTTGCTTCTTTTGAATATGTGGCCCTTCAGCTGAAATGCTCCTCTCGAGCTCTGTTCCTAAACATCTACAGACCACCCAAATACTGTGCAAGCTTTTTAGATGATTTTACAGAGTTACTGTCTATAGTGTGTATTGACTTTGACCGTTTAGTCATTGTTGGTGATTTTAATATCCATGTTGACAACCCCCAGGACAGAGGGGCTAAATAACTGTGTTGTGTTCTTGATAACTATGGACTGACTCAGCATGTGGCGGAGCCCACGCACAATAAGGGGCACACTCTGGACTTCATTATCTCAAAGGGTCTGAATATCTCTGAGGTTGTGGTGACTGATGTTGCACTCTCTGATCATTCCTGTGTTTTCTTTGAGAGCTCTATTTCCGTCCATACAGTTTTTAAGAAAGAGGTAACCACTAGACGTTACTTATCTGAAAATGCAGAGGAAATGTTTGTTCAGAATTTTTCTTCCTCAATTGCCCATGCTAACGTCTCAGTAAATGAGCTAGTTGACCATTTTAATTCTAAAATAACAAATGTCATGGATACCATTGCTCCCATTAAAATAAAGGAAGTATCTGGCAAGAAAATATCTCCATGTAGAAAAGCCGTGACCGTGAGAACAGCAAAAACAGAGTGTAGAAAAGCTGAACGCAGGTGGAGAAAAACCTCTATAAAGAAAGACTCAGGAAATCAAAATTGCCCGACAGTCTTTCCTCTCTGACATCATTACCAAAAACAACGCACGTGCCTTATTTGCTACCGTCGACACACTAACAAACCCCCCAGTGTCAGTAGCCTCTGAATTTCTATCCACCAGGGCCTGCAATGACTTTGCCTTCTTCACTGACACAATTCAGAAAATCAGACAAGCAGTCAGTGCCTCTGCATCAGGTACAGCAAATGTTTTGTCTCTGTGTCCACTTAAAATCAATTCAAACACCATGACACAATTCCATCAGATTAATAATAAAGACCTAGAGGACATTATTCAACTTCTAAAATCCTCCTCCTGCTGCCTTGATATTATTCCATGCCCTCAGATCTACTTCACATAGTAAACAAGTCTCTTCACTCAGGTGTTTTTCCACAGGCCCTGAAAACTGCAGTCATTAAACTGCTCTTAAAAAAGCATAATCTAGACGCTTCCATAATTAATAATTATAGGCCAATATCAAACCTTCCATTTTTAGGCAAAATTATTGAAAAAGTTGTTTTTCAACATTTCATGCTTTTAAATGACGGTTTTGATGTGTTGCAGTCAGGCTTTCGACCAAACCACAGCACTGAGACTGCTCTTGTTAGAGTCTTAAATGTCATCCACTTAAACACAGACAGTGGCAGAATATCAGTGTTAGTATTATTAGATCTCAGTGCTGCGTTTGACACTGTTGACCACAACATATTGCTAGACCGACTGGAAAACTGGGTGGGAGTTTCGGCAACAGTTCTAATTTGGTTTGGTTCCTACTTAAAGGACAGAAAAAACGTTGTCTCAATAGGCAACTACACATCAGCGTTGACAAATATGACATGCGGGGTTCCTCAAGGCTCCATCTTAGGACCTCTGCTTTTTAATATCTATATGCTACCACTGGCTCAAATTATGAAAAACAATGACCTAAGTTATTATATCTATGCAGCAAAGAAGGAAAGATTGAAAGTTATCGCAGAGCTTCAGTCGGCAGACTACAAAACAACGAATAAAGCTAGAAATCTAGGTGTAGTGATGGACTCAGACCTGAATTTCAACAGTCACATTACAACAGTCATTAAGTCTGAATACTATCAGCTGAAGAACATATCTAGGATTAAAAGACTAATTTCACAGCAGAAAGCAGAAAAGCTTGTCCATGCTTTCATCTTCAGTAGACTCGAATACTGCAATAGTGTCTTCACAGGTCTCACTAAAAAATCCATTAGAAAGCTGCAGCTGATTCAGAACGCTGCTGCTCGAGTCCTCACTAACACTAACAGAGTGGATCACATCAGTCCAGTACTGAAGTCTTTACACTGGCTTCCAGTCTGCCAAATAATTGATTTTAAAATACTATTGCTGGTTTTTAAAGCACTAAATAGTTTAGGACCAAATTATTTTAACGATCTCCTGCAAAAGTATGAACCATCCAGCAGTCTCAGGTCTTCTGGGTCGGGTCTGCTCTCTGTACAAGAGTCAGAACTAAACATGGAGAAGCAGTGTATAGTTGTTATGCCCCAACCATCTGGAACAAACTCCCTGAATCCTGCAGGTCGGCTGCAACTGTTACTACTTTTAAATTCACACCGCAGCGGCGCCGCCTCTTAGCTCCGGAATCCGGTTCGTTTCCAGCTCCAAAAAATTGTCGGTCTAGAAGCAAGAGCTCCGGAGCTAAGAGAAGGCGCCGCTTACGTCGAGGCGTGCAGGAAACTAAACTAAACCCACCTCCCCTGAACATGGGTCGACTGAAGAGTCTCGTCATGCCTGCCTACAAGCAGTAGCGCTGAGCAAAGTGACTAGAAGGCAACAACACACTTATAAAAAAAAACACACTTTATAAAGTCAGGCAACCCTAACCAGGCTTCGTGTGATTCTGTTTATTTGTACCTTACTTTGACCATCCGTTCGCTGTTATTGATCATTGTTGAGAGCAGGCAGACTTTTGTTTGTTATTATAGCAGCTATCGGATGGAATCAATACATGGTTACATACAGGTTGTCATGTCCGACTATCACAAGTAGAATCATAATGAAAAATAAGCCGGTAAAATGTGCCTGTAGAAAACGGCGTAGCAAGTAGTCAGTTTAGCTTCGGTTGCTATGCTAACATCACCCATGTTATACCAGAGAAACTTTCATAACAGCGTTGTGATGCCAAACAGCGTCAATTCAGACTGACACACATTCACTTAAGGGGAACTGGGGATATGTATCAGCTGCTTGTGTGACAGTCAGACAGTGAATACTTTAGAGCCGTGTGAGCTAACCCGGAGCTAACGGGAGAATAAACTCCCGTTGAAGAGCAGCCAGCACTGCAGCGGTCGCTAAATGCCGCTGAAACACATTAATAAACAATGAACCACGGCACTCTGGAGAAAAGTATAAGGTTGGAGAAGTCGTTATTTAATTTAATCTGGCTTCGTATGATTAAAAGCAACACGATCATCGACCCGACGCAGTCCCCCGTTGTTGTTGTTGTTGTTGTTGTTGTTGTTGTTGTTGTAGCGATGTAAACGGTGACGTCATCAGCGGCAGCACCAGTCGGGCTCTGGGCGGTGTGAACCAGAAAAGCTCTAGCACGGAGCTAGAACGGGAAAAGCGCTGGTGTGAAAGCCGCATAACAGGGCTGGAATAGAGGGATATGAGGGATGTCTAAAATGCATGATCTATTTGTATTTTGAGCAAAACACATCAATAGGCACTTTCACACCGGAGTACTTTTCCCAGTATAGTTCCGATAGTTCTTAACTAAGTAAAACACTTCAGAGACATGTTTTGTATAGATATAGACATTTTTAAAACCTAAACAGTACGGAATTTTAAATAATCCTTTAGGGATGGTCATCATTTTGCAATCATCTTTTGTTAATAAGATTAATACATTTTGTTATTTTTCTCTTGTTTTCTCTTTTATTAGGACAATTCTGGAGAACTGGATCTGCTGAGGAAGGAGCTGCCATCCACATAGGACCCCCCGTGGTGCTGGAGAAATCTAAACAGCATTAGGGACATCATCCTCCCAAACCTCTGCTTCCTGCCGTCCAGCTGAACAGCAGCTCAGGAAGCTTCAGAGAGAAACAGTGTGTCTAACAGAGACTGAAGCACACTGAGAAACAGTGTGTTTAACAGAGACTGAAGCACACGGAGAAACGGTGTGTTTAACAGAGACTGAAGCACACAGAGAAACGGTGTGTTTAACAGAGACTGAAGCACGCGGAGAAACGGTGTGTTTAACAGAGACTGAAGCACACGGAGAAACGGTGTGTTTAACAGAGACTGAAGCACAACGGAGAAACGGTGTGTTTAACAGAGACTGAAGCACACGGAGAAACGGTGTGTTTAACAGAGACTGAAGCACACGGAGAAACGGTGTGTTTAACAGAGACTGAAGCACACGGAGAAACGGTGTGTTTAACAGAGACTGAAGCACGCGGAGAAACGGTGTGTTTAACAGAGACTGAAGCACACGGAGAAACGGTGTGTTTAACAGAGACTGAAGCACACAGAGAAACGGTGTGTTTAACAGAGACTGAAGCACACGGAGAAACGGTGTGTTTAACAGAGACTGAAGCACACGGAGAAACGGTGTGTTTAACAGAGACTGAAGCACACGGAGAAACGGTGTGTTTAACAGAGACTGAAGCACGCGGAGAAACGGTGTGTTTAACAGAGACTGAAGCACACACAGAGGAACAGTGTGTCTAACAGAGACTGAAGCACACACGGAGAGACGGTGTGTCTAACAGAGACTGAAGCACACACAGAGGAACAGTGTGTCTAACAGAGACTGAAGCACACACGGAGAAACATTGTGTTTAACAGAGATTGAAGCACACAGAGGAACAGTGTGTTTAACAGAGACTGAAGCACACGGAGAGACAGTGTGTTTAACAGAGACTGAAGCACACAGAGAAACAGTGTGTTTAACAGAGACTGAAGCACACGGAGAGGAACAGTGTGTCTAACAGAGACTGAAGCACACACGGAGAAACATTGTGTTTAACAGAGATTGAAGCACACAGAGAAACGGTGTGTTTAACAGAGACTGAAGCACACGGAGAAACGGTGTGTTTAACAGAGACTGAAGCTCACACGGAGAAACGGTGTGTTTAACAGAGACTGAAGCACACACGGAGAAACGGTGTGTCTAACAGAGACTGAAGCACACGGAGAAAGAGTGTGTTTAACAGAGACTGAAGCACACGGAGAAACGGTGTGTTTAACAGGAAGTGGTGATTTAGTAAACATGAGTGTTGTGCTGCTCTCGTTGGTGAAGCAGCGACTCACTGCGGCTGCTGAAGACATCTTTGTTCTGTTTGAAAGAACGATAGCAGAGTACGAGGAGGAACTGTCTCGTTCAAAACAGGAGAACGAGAGACACCGGAAACTACTGGACGCTGTTTTACAGCCTCAGCTTCAGATCCTCAAAGCAGGTCTGTTCCCTCTTTATTCACTCTCTCTTATAAAAAGGAACTCACATTGTCGTATAACCGGCGAGAGAGAAGGCCTTTGAGCTCCATACAGAAATAATCCTTGTTCTAATAATCCTTGCGTTTCATCACCGCAGCATTTTAGACAGTATCTGCCAGGTCCCGCATGAGCCGGCATGAGCTCCGCCCCCTCTTATTTGTTATTTTTTTCAGTTTTAAAAAAAAGAAGCATTTTTTATTTAGCCTTTATTTATACAGGTGAACATCTCATTCAGACACAGGGTCTCATTCTCAAGAGAGACCTGTTTGTACCCAGAATCAGCACTTTTGTAACAGGAAGTGAAATAGAGGGATATGAGGCATGGCTAGATTGGGTGATCTGTTTGGTTGTTTGACCAAAACACTTCATAGACATGTTTTTTATATTTTTTATATATCTGAGACCTATGCTATTGCCTAAAAATAGCATGATAGGTGACCTTTAAAGCTGCTGAGTCATATATTGCACCTCAAACAACAGAGTTACGGTTTCTTTACTTCCTCTACAGAAAGAAGGACAGTGAAAGAAACTGATTCAGAAATCTCATTCCTCCAGTCAGACAGTGGGCGTAGCTGTAACCACCTGCACAGGCCTAGTCTGTCACTTTATTTGACCAAACACGTGTGTACCGAAGTATACTGAACGAATATAACGTTAAACATAAAAAATTGAGAACGTGAACAACTTTTTGGAAGTAATCTCAGGTGCTGCGTCGCAGCGTTCAGTGTAATTTGCTCACATTGGGTTCAACGCGTCATAGAGCGACCAAGTCATTTCATTGGACGAGAGGCATACTATGAGAGCTGGTCACAGGGATGCGTTCAAATTTAGTCAGGAATTTGAGGAACTGTCGAAATGGCGAACGCAGATAAAGTTGAGCTCGAAAATCCTCCAGCATCATTGAAGTCTCCGGTTTGGGAACATTTTGGTTTCGCAGTTACGTACAAGGATGACGGACAAAGACAGGTGGACCGAACCAAAGCTGTTTGTCGGCATTGTTCAACTAAAATTAGTTACGCGGCTGCAGTGGCGGTTCTAGAACATTTTACATGGGGTGGCAAAGGGGGGGCAAGAGGTCATGCCAGGGTGGCATGGGAGGGCCGACAGTACGTGGTATTTTATACTGTATATATAACCTTTGTTGTTAAATCATACCCTAACACAAGTGTTCTTAATGCACAAGAGAAACAAGCTGTTCAGACAAACAAACTCAAATATAGTATAAAACAGCAGAAAATACTCATGATACCCTAGAATTCTGCTTACTGTAAGTACAGTAAAAGTACTTAGTTATAATTAAGTACACAAATGACATCACCCATCTCTTAAAGGTCCCATGTCATGGCAATTTCTACTGATCATAATTCCATTGTTGAGGTCTACTAAAATAGATTTATATTGTGCAATTTTCCAAACTCACATTGGTTTCTCATACAGCATCTCTGTATAGTATGAGGGGCCGTACAGGCCGTAATTCATACTGGTCCTCTCACGCACATACATTCTCCTTTTACATACATACATTTTCACTCTTACATACATACATTCTCCTTTTACATACATATATTTTCACTCTTACACACATATATTCTCCTTTTACATACATACATTTTCACTCTTACATACATACATTCTCCTTTTACATACATACATTTTCACTCTCACACACGTATATATTTACACTCACACATTCATACATTCTGCTCTCATATTATCATATTTCAATGCACACATTCATACATTGTCACTCACACATTTATACGTTTTTCACTCACACATTTTTACATTTTGTTCTCATATTCATATATTTTAATGCTCATATTTATACATTTTGCTCTCATGCACATTCATTCAGTGTTTACATTTAATATTATAAATAATATATGCATGTATGAAGACAATATATGTATGCAAGAGAAGAATGATGTATGTATGAAGACAATATATGTATGCAAGAGAAGAATACATGTATGTGTGAGAGAAAGTATAGTGGAAACGGAAGGAGTATGGTTGAAACGGAAGGCAGGTCATTATCGCGCTGTGATTGGCTCAGAAGGTCGAGCGGGGCGGGCTCATGTTCAGAACTTCTGATTCAAATCAACATGATGGAGGGAGGTGAATCCGTGTATCTACGGACCATTTGTTTTTCTTTATTAAACAAGTAAACTGAAGAGTGTCTGCGAGGCATTTTTGCTTTTTGTTTTTTACCTTACTAAATGGTCTAATGGTCATTGTAGCGAGGGGGGGGGGGGAGGGGGGGCCGCGAAACTCGCGGAAGTGATTTCAAAACAAAAGCACTCCTTTGCTTGGAACGTTGATAATATTATAAACGAGGGGAAACAAGGTGAATTTAGCGATCACAACGAAAACGGCCAAGACACACATTGAGCCCAGAAAATGAATGTTATTAAGGACTGTAAATATAATAAGTCTATGTCTAAAATGGACAACATTGTTAGGACATTGTTGTGGCTAGCTTCATAGCATTGTCCATGTGTGCTCTGGTGTTCTCATGCTTCCTCACTTTCTCAGACAGGTGCTTCATATCCCTCACTCCAGTTGTTGTCCATGCTGCATCTGTCCCCGTTGTTTTAAAAACCAAGCAAGGAAGGCAGAATAAGGCATTAGCATGACTGCATCCAGCCAGGCTTCTGGTGTACCAGCTACGAGAGAAGCCTCGCACATACGGCTTCCATTTGCCACTTGCCTGCTGTTTGATAGCAATATCAGGTTGATCTGCTCTTTCACCGGAAGTTTGTCCGCCAAACTTCTTCTCTCAAACATAACAGTCATACAAAAGAAAATGTATTTTGTTTTGCTGCGATTCTTCTTTCTGTCTCTTTTCATGCACCACATATACTAAAGCAAATTCCTCGTAAATGTAAACACACCTTGTAAATATGACCGATTCTGAATCTGATAAATATGTGTTTTCTGTTTCCTGCAGACGTCCAGCAGCTGGTGGTGGTTAAAGAAGAGGTTCCCCCTGAGCAGCAGGAGTGGAGCTCCAGTCTGGACCAGGAGGACCCAGAGCCCCCCCCACACATTAAAGAGGAGCAGGAGGAACTCTGGAGCAGTCAGGAGGGAGAGCAGCTTCAAGGGCTGGAGGAGGCTGATATCACCAAGTCCACATTCACTCCTGTCCCTGTGAAGAGTGAAGATGATGAAGAGAAACCTCAGTCCTCTCAGCTTCATCAAAGACAAACTGAACACCTGGAAACAGAAGCTGATGGAGAGGACTGTGGAGGACCAGAACCAGCCAGGAACTCAGATCCAGAGAGACATTTACAACCAGAGACTGAGGACAACCCTGGAGACTCTTCTGAACCTGACACTGAAGACAGTACTGATTGGAAGGAGACCAGAGAACCAGGTTCAAACTCTCAAGAAAATAAACAAGACCCTGTCAGTGATTCAAGACGTAGTGCAGGAGAGAAACCATTCAGCTGCTCAGTCTGTAATAAAGCTTTTGCAAAGAGTGGAAATTTAAAGGACCACATGAGAATCCATACAGGAGAGAAACCATTCAGCTGCTCAGTCTGTGAGGTGTCTTTTACACAACGTGGAAGTTTAAAGGACCACATGAGAATCCACACAGGAAAGAAACCATTCAGCTGCTCAGTCTGTGAGAAATATTTTGCAGGGAGAGGAAATTTAAATCGGCACATGGCAATACACACAGGAGAGAAACCATTCAGCTGCTCAGTCTGTGAGAAAACATTTGCACGGAAAGGAACTTTACAACTACACATGAGAAACCACACAGAGAAATCATTCAGCTGCTCAGTCTGTGAGGTGTCTTTTACACAACGTGGAAGTTTAAAGTGCCACATGATAATACACACAGGAAAGAAACCATTCAGCTGCTCAGTCTGTGAGAAGTCTTTTAAATGGATAGGACAATTAAAGGAACACATGAAAATCCATACAGGAGAGAAACCATTCAGCTGCTCAGTCTGTGAGAAAATGTTTGCGCGGAGAGGACATTTAAATCGGCACATGGCAACACACTCAGGAGAGAAACCATTCAGCTGCTCAGTCTGTGAGAAAACATTTGCACGGAAAGGAGTTTTACAACTACACATGAGAAATCACACAGGAGAGAAACCATTCAGCTGCTCAGTCTGTGAGAAGTCTTTTAAATTGATAGGACAATTAAAGGAACACATGAGAATCCACATAGGAGAGAAACCATTCAGCTACTCAGTTTGTAAGAAATATTTTTCACAAAAGGAACATTTAAGGACACACAGAAGAATCCACACAGGAGAGAAACCATTCAGCTGCAGTGTTTGTGACAAAAGATTCACCTGGAGTTGCCAGGTCATAATCCACAAGTGTGTTGGTCGTCAGTCCTCACAGCTTCATCAAACTCAGACTGAGGAGAACAGAGAGGCAGAGCCTCCAGCCAGCAGCTCAGCTGAACACATGGAAACAGAAGCTGATGGAGAGGACTTTGGAGGACCAGAACCAGCCAGGAACTCTGATCCAGAGAGACATTTACAACCAGAGACTGAGGACAACCCTGGAGACTCTTCTGAACCTGACACTGAAGACTCTTCAGAACCTGACATTTTCCAAGTCAAATCTGCATGTGCAACAAAAAAAGAGGACAATTAATTAGTCCTTCGACAATTCAATAACCCTATTGCAGTAGTCGAGTCTACTGAAAATAAAAGCATGGACAAGTTTTTCTAAATCCTGTTGCGACATTAGTTTTTTAATCCTTGATATATTCTTCAGGTGATAGTATGCAGACCTAATAGCTGTTGTAATGTGACTGTTAAAATGCAGGTCCATACACTACACCTAGATTTCTTGCTTTGTGAGTTACTTTGTAGTCTGCCGACTGAAGCTCTGTGATTACTTTTAATCGGTCCTTCTTTGCTCCAAAAACAATGATCTCAGTTTTTATTTGTTCAATTGGAGAAATCCATTATGTGCACAAGACTTCAGTCAAAGACTGCTGCCACTGCAACATAAACAAATATTAGTCTATATATATATATACTGTGCTGGACAGGCACGGATATCCCATGATAACTTAGAGATACAGTTACCAATTTTTTCTGATTTCACTCATTTCACAATTTCATGGACTCATCATCATCCCCATATCATTATTAACACTACACATAGTGAGAATAGCATGCTAAACAAAAATAAACACCTGATCAATATACTGTAACTAGCAAGCCAGCAAGCTAGTTAGGAAGCACCTGTGTCAGTGGCAGTGGGTAGAGATGAAAAGGGAGTCGGAATTTAGAAAATATATTTGTTCAATCTCAGTAATGTATCCATTGAAATTGGGTCCTAATGAAGGGGTCTACAATGAGCCAAATTGAATTGATATATTGCCTGAATGGACCAAATAATTAAATATTGGCAAACAATAGTCACATTATGATATTCTCAATAGCTTTAATGCATTCCCTGACCCAGAAAATGTGTATTTTGACACCAAGATCGACCTTCTAAGTGGCTTGGAAGCCGAGATATTGGCACTTATAGCTTTTTGCATGGCGGCTCATCTTGGATATCCAAGATGGCGGCCATCTTGGATATCCAAGATGGCCGCCATCTTGATGAGCAGCCACTTCATCAACATGGCGGATTTAAAGCTATGGTGATGTAGAACACATGGAGAAAATGTGGTGCTTTTATCCAGCGTGTCCCCATAATTTTGCTAAGCTGCCGCACTATTTAAACATTTTTGAATGGTGATATACACAGTGATAGATTTTAAGGCCCAAGACGTTTATAATAGTTACATTTGTAACTAAAAACATTTAAACTAAATATTTAAAAACTACATGTGGACATGGAGAATTACATGAACTACATCCACCGCGGGGCATAAACGGAAGGGCAACCATGGCAACCATGCTCGGGGGTCTTCTTCGCTGCTTTTGGTGTATTTTGTGGCGGAAGTTACTACGCCACTTACAGGCCCAGCATATGTACTACATTACATTACATTTCATTTTTAGTCTACTTTTAGTCGATGAAAAATTACATTTTAGTCAACTTTTAGTCAAAATGTTTTCTCTCTTTAAACCAATTCAGTTAGGCAAATACAGGTATCTGAAATTGTAATCAACGTGACAGCATCAAGTGTTGAAATTCGTAAAGCAACATTTCACTCTCTTAACACTTTACTTGTGTAATATCTAGGGATGGGTATCGTTAAGGTTTTCTACGGTACTACTAGTCTTATCAATACTGCTTATCGATCCGGTACTTTAACGGTATTCTTGTATTTACTTTTTGTTATTTTTTAAAGGAAAAAACTAACAAATTGTTAACCGAATTAATTGCTTTATTTAAATGAAATATGTATAATTATGTTAAAATATTGTACTGTACTTGAGTAAAATGTTGAGGTACTTGTACTTTACTGGAGTATTTAAATGTTTTGCTCCTGTGTACTTCTACTCCACTACAGTTCATAGTTAAATGGTGTACTTCTACTCCACTACATGTATTTAATACCTTTAGTTACTTTACAGATGTGGATGAATGATGTGAAATATAATCAAGTGTTAAATCAGACTTTAGTAAATTCACAAGCTACCCTGCAGTATACAAAGTCCTTCAAACTAGCTGCACCTTTACCAGCTTTGAGAACACTTTAATGATCAATCATTATAAAACATATCATATATATTATTCTGAAATGGACCAATCTGCACAATGACTACTTTTACTGTCGCTACTTTTAAATATATTTTGATGATCATACTTTGACTTGAGGAACTCTTCCTACACTATGGTATTTTTTTACTTAGCTACAAGATCTGAGTACTTCTCCCACCTCTGCACACCTGATGTGATAACGTTACTCGTAATTGGGGCAACAGAGCTACGAGTTAAGGAAGTCGAAAATTGTGCATTTCTCCGACTGAATATGACGCCTTTTGGCCGGCTGTTTGGACAGACTACTCTACTCGTGTCAACGCGCTAACGCGAAAACATGGCAAACGAGCTTTGTCCACATCGAGTCTTGTAGAGTGTCTCTATACTCTCTGAACGCTCCGTCCCCGGCAGATCTCTGTGTGCCGCTGCAGCGTGTCTGTTAGGCCCCGCCCCCGCACACAGAGAGAGAGGGAGATCGCTCTTCTGGAGTGAAGAGAGCGGAGATAATGATATTGCAAGTTAGAAATGTAAGATGCATTTTGACAGATAAGACGGACACTTGGGGGGAAATACCCTGCATTTTGAATGTCCGATAGTCCACCATTAACACCTTAGTCCCGTCTCGTCTCGTCAACGAAAACTAAATATACATTTCGTCAAATTTTCGTTATCAATAATCTATTTTTAGCTCGTCATCGTCTCGTCTTAGTCATGTAAAAAAGGTCGTTGACGAACATTTTTCGTCATAGTTTTCGTTGACGAAATTAACACTGGCGATGCAGTATAGAGAGGCGAAGTCCCTCCCCTTCCGGTGGACCACCATGGGACCTTATTTCGGAAAAATGATGTATTGAAGTCAATGGAGAGAGAAAGATTATCTTTCAATCCCGTTTGAATTGTGCCACAAATTACACATATGATGTTTGTCAATTTAAAAGATAATTTTGCAAATTAAAAAAAAAAGTGTCGTAAAACTGTGAAGTAACACATTTGTTTGTGTGAAACACTCAATGAACTACATCTCTGGTCTCGCAGACTCGCACAACAACACACGTCACCAAGATGGCCGTCACTACTGTCTTGTCAACAAAACGATTGACTACCCTCACTATCACCACAATGAAACACGTCCTGAAGAATGTCATGCAAAGCTGCCTGCCTGCCTTCCTTTGATTCTCTCTGAACTGCCTGGTCTTTTTAATGTTTAATGTCAACCATTTGTGCAGATAGCATGAAGTGCAAAAGATCGCAGATGCTAGCGTTAGCATTTCTCCCCCGGGCTTAAATTGTGTATTATAGAATGATCACACCGGTGACAGTACTCTTCAAAGGGTTCACGAAATATGACTACTACTCTTACTGTTTAACATTTTGGGTTACTTAATGTTACTTCATGTTAAGGCTAATAAAAATGACATGGCTGTAATGCTAACTAACGTGCTAGCTACTAGCTAGGTAGCTAACTTGATCCAAACACTCCTGGTCCTTTCATCAGACGGGAAGCGAAAGAACGAGCAAGACCCATTGCTGGTATGATAACAACCTGGTACTAAGCACACAGGCATCTTGTTAAAGTTATCTTATCTTAGCCAGCGCCATATAGATAGATTATATCTATATTGCGCTGATCTTAGCTATCTCTTAGTGGAGGAAAACAATTGTGACATCACTTACGCGACTCTGAGATTTGTAGTCTTTCTAGTTGCGTATTTTTCATAGTCTTATATTTCAACAGTTTTACGACAAACTGTGACTTTTTTGACATGGAAATTATTTTTTAAGATTGACAAACATCATATGTGTAATTCATGGCACAATTCAAACGGGATCGAAAGATACGTTTTCTCTCTCCATTGACTTCAATACATTATTTTTCCGAAATAAGGTCCCATGGGGCGGAAGTAGATGGGCGTGACTTCCACTCTCTATACATAGAAGTTCAGAGAAGAAGCAACCCCTACATATTGTTTTATTTTATTTCATTTCATTTTGGCACCATGGCAGAGGCAAATATAGAGTTAATGCGGAGATTATAATGTCCCG